TCTTTCCTGGCAGGTTCCCCACTCACTTGACGACACAGATGGACAGCGCTTACTACTTGGTGAGCCCCGGCCCGGGAAGCCCCGCCCTCTCCGGGAAGCCCCGCCCCTACTCTCCCCATCACCACCACCACCACCACCACCACCACCACCACCAGGTAGCCCCTCAGGAGCCTCCTGGAAAGGCTGTTGAGTTTGGCCTCAGGATCCGGGTTTGGGGGCACCCTCTCCTCTATTTACTTTGCTTATTTTAGGCAAGTGAGTTAACCCAGTGAGCAACAACTTCATGTGAGTTTTTCTTAATTAATAACCTTGCTGTGAAAACAAGTAATTCTGTATTTAAATTAAGGAGAAGTTTCTTCAGCCCACAGTTGATGAGTTAGGGGTACAGCACGTGATAGGAGTCCCTGCCCTTCAGGAATGTATGTTCTACTGTGTGCTGTCTTCTGGAACTTTCCACAAAGATAAGAATGTTCTCTATCAACAGGGTCCAGTATGGCACCCACCAGCCACATGTGGCTACTGAGCTCCTGTAAGGAGCTGAATTTTAATTGACTGAAAGTTAAAGAGCCACGTTTGACTAGTGGCTACCCCATAGGACCCGGCAGCTCTAAGGGAAGGAGAGAGACAAATAAGTAAATAGAGAAACAAGATTCACAAAATGTAAGTGCTTAAAAGAAAATAGAAGGTGAAGCGGTGAAAGTGAGTCAAGATTTTGAGCTAAGGTAGTCAGGAAGGGCTTCTTGAACGTGAGACACAGTGACACCATGTCTCACTGTGTCTCACGTTCACAGTGAGACATGGAAGATAAGGAGTTCCTGCCACCCTAGAGAGAACAGGGAAGGCTGTTTCAGGCAGAGGGCACAGCCTGTGCAAAGGTCCTGGGGCAGGATCGGGCCTGGTGTGTTGGAGGAACAGCCAGGAGGCCTGTGTGTCTGGAGCAGAGTGAGCGAGGGGGAGAGAGGGAGGAGGGGAGGGCAGGGAGGGAGCAAGGGCAGGTTGTGCCCCTCTTTGACCTCCACTTCATACCTAGAATGAAAACCAGGGGTCTCCCTAATTACTTCCTACTCTGAGTATGGTAGGCAGTATCCCATTTGATGAGAGCAGGGACCAGAGAGGTAGCATGACTTGCCCAGGGTCATACAGCTGGGGAGAAACATGCACAGCATTTCAGTTCTGCACTCTTGCCCACTTCCATTGACCACCTCCCAGTGTGACCACTGTTGTTCCTTTGCAGTTCCAGGAGATTCGGCAGGGGCTCCAGGAACATCACAAGCAGGTGAATGGGCCTTGTGGGCCGCGGAGGTGGACTTGAGCTTTTCCCCCTGAGGGAGGTGGGAGCCCTGGAGGGCTGGGGGCAGAGGGGGCGGGGCCCAAAGTGGAATCCCCAGGGTATCAGTGGATCCCCCACATCTCAGGAGTGCATCTCTGGTCCTGAGCCTCTTCCCTCCTGTCCTGCTCGCGGGTCCCCGCGTGCCTGGAGGAGGCCAGGGGCCTGTCAGCACATCGCAGGTTAGTTGCCTGTGCTAGGAAGGGGCTTTTATGTGCCAGGCATGGCCGGATGCGGTCTCCATGTGTCTGAGGTTCCCAAGGGCCTGGCTCACACTCGGGGGTGGGGGGAGGGACAGGCCTGCACTGGGGGCCCTGCTCCCAGCACGGGGAGCCTTGCCCAGGCTGAGCATGGCTTCCACCCCGCCTGTCCTCCCGCCACCTGGCCCCTTTCTCCTGGGTGCTGGCAGGACTTTCTGCCTGTGCCAGATGTGACTGGCAGAGGGCCAGGGCTGTGTCTGCGACTTAGTGGGGCCTGGGGTGGGTAGCTCAGGGAACAGGGAAAGACAGATCCAGAGGCGGGGGTGGGGTGGGGCAGGAAGCAACCAGAACACGGTTATTCATTCAACAGATATTTATCCATCACCTCCTTGCCAAGTGCAGTTGTAGGCGCCAGGGAAATAGCAAAGGAGAACACAGACAAACCGCTGCCCTTGGGGTGAGAGGAGCTTGGTAAACAGAAGTGTCAGATGGTGAGGGCTGGGCAAGGCGGGGGTGGAATTGAGCAGCCCCAAGGCGACGTGGGGGGAACCAAGGTGGGAATGGGTTACAATTCAGGGTGGTCAGGGAAGGCTCGCTGAGAAGGTGACATTTGGGCAGACTCTTGAAGGAGATCAGAGAGGGAGTGTAGATGTCTGGAAGGAGTAGACCAGGCAGAGGGCACAGCCTGTGCAAAGGCCCTGGGGCAGGACCAGGCCTGGGTCATTGGAGGAACAGCAAGGAGGCCCGTGTGTCTGGAGCAGAGTGAGCGAGGGGGAGAGAGGGAGGAGGGGAGGGCAGGGAGGGGTCGCGGCAGGTCGTGCAGGGCCTTGTGGGCCGCAGGGAGGACTCTGGCTTTTACCCCCAGGGAGGTGGGACCCTGGAGGGCTGTGGGCAGAGGAGGGGCGGGGCCTGACTCAGATGCTCACTTGCGCCCTCTGGTGGCTGCTTTGAGGAGGATGGATATTTGGGGGCCAGGATAGGAGTTGGGGTCCAGTTGGACCATCCAGGTGCGGGAGGCTGGTCACCGAGCCAGTTCGGTGGTGAGAAGCAGTCAGAGTGTGGATGTGTCAGGAAACTGACAGCATGTGCTGAGTATCAAGACATAAGGGGAGGAATTCCTTGGTGGTGCAGTGGTTAGGACTCCGCACTTCCACTGCAGGGGACACAGGATCGATGATCCCTGGTCGGGGGAGTTCTGCATGCCATGGGGTGCTGCCAAAAAAAATAAATAAGATGTAAGGGGATGAGGAGGACCCAGGAGGGTCGCCCCTGAGCACCCTCCTCCCCCAACAGAAGGCCCCAGGTGGTGATCCCTAGCTGACTTGTGGTTTCACAGGGACCACCTCCCCCTCCCCTGTTTCCTGTTCCTTGTCTCCCAGCCTCCTTGCTGTGTATTTAAAATCCTGAGCAGCAGCAGTGGCAACGCCCCCGGCTCCGCAGCCCGCCTGCACACAGCTCTCCCCAGGGAGGACCCGCATGCAGGCAGGGGGCAGCAGCACTTTTCATGCTGAGTGCATTAAAGTGCCAGTAAATTGCGCATTAACGAGCCAAGGAGGATTGGGGAAGGCTCCCCTGGGCCTCGTGCTGCTGGGAGGCCCAGCTGGGGAATCCATCGCCCGCTACCCTAGGAGGCAGCCACCTGGAGCGCCCAGAGCTCAGGGAGGGGGTCCTCCATTCCAGCCTCTCCCTCCACCATCCTACTCGCCCCCCCCCACCCCAACCAGCGAGGGGCAGGGGGTGGGACCAGGCTGCCAGTGGAGGCAGGGAAACACTGCTGGGCCCCAGGTGTCCTGACTTTAGGAAATTGACTTTGATGCTCTGAGCCTCAGTTTTCTCATCTGCAGAATGGGAACGCCAGTGGTGCCCGTTCAACAGAACTGACAGCCACAGGCCTTATGCCACGTTCCTTAGCAATTGTTTCTTTCTGTGAATCACAATATTTCCCCAGGATTTTGGAATTCACTCTGGGCCAGACAGCTTCTTGGCATCCACCATGGAGGTGCATGTGCATTCGGAAGGCCCACGGCACTGCCTCCAAAGCCAAAGGCCCAAGACTAAATCCGTGTCACCCTCTGCAGTAGCCACGGGACACACGTGGCTATTTACACTTTAATTGGCAATCAAGTGGCACCGTCCACGTTTCAAGTATTCAACCTTAGCTGGCGGGTCTAGAACATTCCTCATATCACTGTATTTAGTCCATCTGGACTAAATATAGCTGCACATTCCCGTAGAGCCCCTTATCGGGCCGAGAAGATGGGTCTCCTCACAGCGAATTCCTGGCAGTACTGGCAGGTCGTGTCTTGCGTGGTCTGTGTCCTCAGCTGGCTGCCAGGCACATTCTAGGTTCGTGCCTCGCCATCCACTCTGGCAGCCCCCAGCCCCACGTGGCTGCTGAGCCCTTGAAATGTGGCCCGTGGGATAGGAGGGATCGCATTTTTAATTAAACTTAACTTTATATTTAAATAGTGACCTGCAGCCAGTAGCCGCTGTGCAGGGAGGTACAGTCTTGAGGAAGGAGAGGTTAAACACAAATCTGGTACCTGGGCCAGATAAATGCTCTTGAGAAAAGCAGTAGGATGTGCCATAGGAGGGAGCCTGTCCTAAAGGAACAGATGGGCAGCCTGCTGGGAGGGAGAAAAAGAAAATTTAGGGTGCCTTCCATGACCACAGAAACTGTTCACTTAAATCTGGAATCGGTAGCAGCCACGTGGCTTGATTTTAAATATAAAATAAGTGACCCTCCCACCAGGGCCCCTAACTTCCCCGTCGCCAGCCCTGCTCCCCAAGAGGTAACCATTGGTTTCTTAGGATCTTTGCAATGTTTCAGCAGCTTCAAATGTCATCCCCATAAGGGGGACATGTGTACACACGGCTTTGCTTCTTGAAACCATTTTAAGCAAGGGGGTGGCATTCAGGCTTTTGTTTCCAAACATCCCAAGAAAAGCAGCTGGGATGCGAACCCAGATCTGACTTGACTTGCGACCATATTATACTGGTGACTGGTCATTAGGGCTCAATTTTGTCACCCGCAGCCAAGGGTGGCCTCTGGGTACCGAGAGCTTGCTTTTTGCTAGGTGATCATGAATCCACCCAAAAACGTTCAAGGGTGTAGCCTCACTTTGTGAACAGGGAAACTGGCTTGTAGGAAGGTATTCGCACCCAGGGCTGTCCTTTAATGAAGCTTTAGCTGGGATGACGTTCCCCTTCCAGGCAGAAAACTTCCTACAGATAGTGGAGACCTGCAACCAATCCCTGGGCTTCCAGCTGGGGGAGGTAGGTTCCTGGGTCCTTGAGTAGGGTGGGGATAGGCTTGGGGCAAAGGGTACATCCTCGTGTCCCTCGCGACCCTGTGCTTACAGCACCAGGGAAACCAGGAGTTCCCCAGTGAGCAGCCCAACCGGGACCCCCAGCACCCAGAGGCCAAGACCCCACAGCCCTCCAGTCTCCAGGGGCCAGACTTCGAAGACATCATGGCCACAAGGTCATCCGACTGGCTCCAGCAGACCCCCGGAGTGGACACGGTCCACCAGCCAGACATGCGGCCATCCTGGGACTCGGAGCCCCGGTTTTGGCAGGATGTTCTGACAGAGCAGCTCTGGCAGATTTTTACTGGGACCCAGGAGCGCCCAAGACGCAGGAGTGAGTCTCCCTGAGGGTGAGGGGAAGTGGGGAATCAGGCTGCGTGGAGGGACAGCACCGGTTGAACTGGCTTCTCCCCCTCATCCCCTTCTGTTGTCATAGCGACAGAGCAGGCGCCAGGCCAGGTAAGTAACTGGAATCCTCGGTACCTGGAAGGGTGGGCTTTGCCCTGGCTGGGCCCCCTGGCTTTGATCTCTAGATGCCTGTGGGATTGGCATGCCTCCCCCACCCTCAGCCCTTGGATACCCTCAGAGGACCTGAGCCTGTCTGCAGCTCCGCCTGGACGGGAGGATGGGACTTCAGGCAGTTGGAGCATCCTGTCCACACTGCCTGGGCCCGCCTGCCGTGTTCCAGTTCTCAGACCAACCCTGGTCAGGTCCTTTGGTCTGAACTGATCTCCCCAATTCCCGCGGGCAGGAAAGCCAGGAGCCAGCACCACGATACTTGGGAGTGAAACTGCTCCCCAAGGACACTTTGGGTAATCCTGGTGGGAGGAGGGCAGCCCGCCCTGGGGGAGGGGAGCCACACCTGCCACTGATCCACTCTTTTCTCTGCCCAGTTCTCAGCCCAGCTACGCCCTCCCCCAACTCCTCTGAGGGCTCCCGAAAGGGAAGCACAGGACTGGGCACTGTAGGAGAGGGGGTGTTCTCCCACATGGCCCAGGTGAGACCCCCGCACCCCACACAAAGGCTGTGGGGGGCTGGGGCGGGAGGAGAATGTGGCTCAGCTGTGACCTCATCCACCCGCAGGAGCTTCCTGTAAAAACCTATCAATTTCTGAAGCCCATGTAAGTATGTCCCAACCTTGTGGTTGGGAGCCCAGATGTGGGGGTGAGAAGGGTTCCTGGAGGAAGGGACATGATGGTTAGGACCTTGAAGGATGAGTAGGAGTTTGCTGGGATAGGGCAAAACATGCCAGGCAGAAGGGAGCAGTGTTTGGTCATGGGAGAAGGAGAATACTTGGAGGGGTGTGGGTAGAACCTGGGAGGATATAGAGTGCCGTGGAGAAATGAGGCCTGAGAGAACTCCAAATCTGACAAAGAACGAAGCCCCTTTGGGGCTTGATAGGTGCCCTGCTCTGGGCAGAGAGGCTCACAGGTGGGCTGGTGACCCTGAGGCCTCCTCTCCCAAGATGCTGGGACCCTGAGGACTTTGAAAACACGTGGAATAGGCCTGATGCCTTGCCCTGGCAGTCCAAGAAGCTGGCCGTGCCACACAGAGTGGAGAAGATACGGAGGCTAGAACATGGGGAGCCCGTGCTGGCCACGGCCGTCAGCAGCTTCACGCGGCACGCCTTCACCTGTGGCAGGGGTGGCGTCAAGGTGTGGAGCCTGGTCAGCCAGGTGGTGGAGGCCAGGTTTCCAGAGAGCTACCTGCGTGTACAGGTGAGGGTAGGGCTGGCTCTGGGGCGGAGCTTGTGGGAGCAGGGAGAGCCCCCCACCCTGCAGGGGAGGAAGCTCACCCCAGGCTCTGCCCACCCCAGACCCAGGGGGCCTACCTGCGTACTTGCTTGCTGTTCTCAAACAGCACAGCCCTGCTGACGGGTGGCCACAACCTGACCAGCGTGAGCCTGTGGGACCTGACAGCACCTTCCCTGTATGTGAGAGCGGAGCTGCCCTGTGCGGGCCTCACTTGCCAGGCCCTGGCCGCCAGCCCTGAGGACAACCTGGCCTTTGCCGGTTTCACCGATGGCAGTGTCAGGATCTGGGACCTGCGGAACCAGAGCGTGGTCAGGTGTGGCCCAGGGGTGGGCGGGGCCACCCTGAGGGCTGCTTCCCACCTGGATCCCTGAGTAGGGACCCAGCAGTCTCAAGGCCAAAGCCCCTTTCCCTAAAGAACTCTTGCATTTGAGAGTTGAAGACCCAGGTTCAAACTGTGGCTGGGTCCTTGAAGCCCAGTTGTGGTACTTCTTGCCTGCCTCAGTTTCCCCATCTGTCACCCGGGTGTGATTGGAGGGGGGTGTCCTCCGGGGCCCAAAGCTTAGAGTTTCAGCCCTGACCCCCCTTCCAATGCCTCTCCTGGCCAGGGACCTGCTGGGTCACCTGAACGGTGCCAAGAGCATCGCTGTCAAAGACCAGCACATCTGGACAGGGGGTCTGGACGCCTGCCTGCGGTGCTGGGACCTGAGGACCACTGGGGAGCCCCAGGAATACCAGTTTGAGTCTCAGGTGTGCAGCTGGGATGGGGCCTGCTTGGCCACGTAGCAGCTGGGCTGTGGACTGAAGGAGGTGGAAGCTGGCGGGAAGGGCAGGGGTTAGTGGTACCTCAGGTCTCAGTGATGCTCTGAAGAGAGGGGACCTTAGCTACATCTTCCCCAGTTGCCCAGATAACATTGGATGCTTTCGTACTCTGTATCAGGGGTTCCTATTCTCATTGAGTCTCTGTGATAATCCCACAAAGTAGAGAGGACCACACCCATTTTGCAGATGAGCCAGCCAAGGCCGGATATGTGAAGTTGCTTTCTGGGGGTCTCACAATCAGGAAGCGGGCAGGCAGTCAGCCCCGGGGATGGGTCCCTGTGCTCCTGCCACCTCTCGGGCCCCGCTGGGACCTGGACAATGTTTCCCCGCTGCCTTCTCCCCAGATAATGAGCCTGTCCCCCAGCCCCTGGGAGGACTGGGTGCTGGTGGGCACAGCCAATGGCCAGCAGTGGCTGCAGCCCAGCCTTGGGGGCCAGAAGCACATGGTGGGGTGTAAGGACGGCACCATCCTCGGTCTCAAGTTCTCCCCGCTGGGTGAGTGGCCAGGATCGCGGCGGGGAGTCTGCCGTGGTCCCCAGCCTCCCACGGGGCCCTGCCTCACTAAGACTGACTCCACCCAGCCCTTTCTGACCCTTCCTGACCCCCCCCCAAGGCCTTCATCAGCAGGAACCGCCCTGAGTGATGCTCTCCGCAGGGGTGTGAGGGAGGTGGGGGGCTCCCTGTTTCCCAGATCCCCAGGGGTCCAGCCCTCAGCTGCCAGCTTTCCCTATGACCGGGCCCCCCTCTGCCTTCTCCCAGGCCAGTGGTGGGTGAGCGTGGGGACGGACAACCTGGTCAGCGTCTTCAGCATGCCCATGGGGACCACAGTGGTCCAGGTACGGGGGTGGGGCAGGTGGGCGGCATTCATTGGGCTGAGCCCGGGGGTCCAAACGCAGAGACCCCCACCACCACCCAGGGACCACGTTTGAATCTATGGGCAAATGTTAAGGGCAAGGATGGGTGAACCCCGTCGCTCTGCTCCCCAACTCTTCCAGGTACCTGAGACGTCCTCCATCATGTGCTGTGACGTGTCCCCCAGCAACCATCTGATCGTCACGGGGTCCAGGGACCACGCCTCAGTGTACCAGATCACATACTGAGGGCTCACCAGGGCGGGTGGGGTGAGCACAACTGGACCTATGATCTTTGTCACGTGTAATAAAGCATTTGGAAAAAGCACGGTTGCAGTGCTGCATCCTGTCCCCTGGTCATCTTGTGGAGATTTGGAAGGACTTTTCCAGCCTGGGTCTCTGAGCCTCTTGAGTCCACAGTCCCTGAGAATCGGATCAGAGCCACTGACGCTTGCCGTCGGGGGAACTGGACGTAGAGCCCTTCTTTTTTTTTTTTTCTTTTTTGTTTTTGGCCACGCCACGCAGCATGTGGGATCTTAGTTCCCCAACCTGGGATGGAACCTGGGCCACGGCAGTGAAAGCATGAAGTCCTACCACTGGACCGCCAGGGAATTGCCTGGAGCCCTTCTTTCTACTCCACTGAACTCATCTGATGTCATGGAGAGATGTTTCCCAGCCCTGCCTGCACAGTCCCAGGGATGGGGTCCTCAGTCCTTCCCAAGTTACCTGTGTTCCATTAGATCAGTGCTTCTCACCTGGGGGTGAGTCTGACCCCCAGGGGACACTGGGGACAAACGTGGTTTGTCACGACTGGGAGGGCTCCTGGCCTTGAGCGGTTGGGGGCCAGGGATGCTGCTTAACACCCCACAATGCCTGGGACGGCCCCACAACCAAGAATTATGCAGCCAGTGTCAGCTGTGCCGAGGGGAAGACTAGTTTACAGGGGTGGCTCTTGCTGGCCAGCACTTCTCCACCCTCTCATTAGGGCTCTGAAATCACCATTTGCTCACCCCGCCCCTCTGGGATGAGCAGCGTCCCAGGTGGCATCAACGGGTCTGGTCTCCCTAACTGGAGAATTATCCTATCTCCATCCCATGCCTTCAGAAACCCCCTGGGCATGACTGTTTCCGGCAGCGACCCTGCCACCTCCCTCCACAAGTTTCCCAGCAGCAGCCCTACTTTGCCCCCCAGCCCCCTCTAACCCATGGTCCTCGTGGCAGCCCCTGTGAACTTCCAGAACCCAGCTCTGATGGCTTCACCACCCCCACCGGCCTCTCCCAAAATCTGGCTCACATTTCCACGGGCTTTCTCTGCTTAAGCCTGATCTGAAGCTGAGGAGGAAACCCCACGTCCCTGCTCTCCTGACTTCCACAACGGCCAAGCTCTTTACCTCTGAGCCTTCGCACATGCTGTTCCCTCTGTTCCCAGCACATCCTTCCATCACTCTTCCAAATGGCTGTTTCTCCTCCTTTAGCTCTTCTCTTTGCTGTCACCTCCTCTGGGACTGTGACCTCCGCTCAGCACCTGACCGTGGGCTGGGCACCGTGTGCTAGGCTCTTAGGAATTATCACTGAGTCTCAAAGGAAACATGACTGCACCCCAAAAACCTTCGTGGTCTACCATATTCCCTAACGCTCTGTACGTGGGCAGGGTCTTGGGGTGAGTCTGTCCCACAGGCTGGCAGTAGAGCAGATAGGTGAAGCTTTGGGGCCAAGGATGTAAAAGCATCCCCCCTGCTACATTAGCCTCAAAAGCTACACACTGAGGTGGTAAAACCTCCACCTGGAGCCCTGAGTGTCTGCTTGGAGTCGAGCCCCACCTGCCACAGGGCCGTGGGTGAGAAATAAACATCTATTGTTTCAACCAACTGAGATCTGGGGGCTGTTTGTTACATGGCACAATGGAAGCCACACGGCCCAAGACAACACCCACTTCCTGTGGTCGACCCCTCAGCATTTCATGCAGAATGAATTCCTTCAGTGTCCAGGTGAGGAAAAAGAGGCTGACACAGCCAGCAAGTGGCCTTCCCTCCGGAACAGTGCCCAGAAAGAGCAAAGGTGCCTGGCTCCTCAGCCCAAGACAGAAAGGCGGCTGTGATAAATACATTTATTTCCCCAAAGTCCCCCTGCACATCTGGTCCCACATCCAGCAGGGGAGGACGTAAGGGGGTCAGCCAGAGAGCAGATGAGATTTGGTGCTCAGAGTAGGACTGGAGAGGCGGTCCTGGCTGCCTCTCCCTCAGGAGTTAGGCCAGGGGTGCAGGAAGAGTGGTGTCTCAGTAGACAACCTCATACACGGTGGCCTTCTTGTCCCCAGAGCCTGTCACGATGTACTTGTTATTCCCGGAGATGTCACAGCTCAGCACGGAGGATGACTCCTTGGACTGTTGACAGGGAGGGGAAGGGGGAGAGAGAAGGGAGAGTGAGGCACGGCCAAGGCCAGCACGGCCAAGGCCAGCACGGTCTGGTTCGTGCTCCCGACCACCTGCAAGTTCAGAGCAAAGAGGCAAGGAGACTGCCCACAAGGGTGAATCTGTGGTCCAGGCTGGGCCCAAGATAGGACTCAGGGGAGTCCTATCAGCGTGGGGAGCCTAGCAGGGGGGAGGGAAGGAGGGTGACACATTTTCCAGAGAAAGGTCCTTTGGAGCTGAGCCTCTGGACAGGTGACAATGCTCCTGGGAAGAGTGAGACCTCGGTTCTCTGGAACAGGAGAACTGCCCTTTCCTGGGAAGCTCAGAGAGGGTGTGCACCAAGCATGAGGCCACACAGCACAGCAGAGGGCTGAGCTCACAGCAGGATGACCTACACCAGCGCTCTGCAAACTTTTTCTGTAAAGGGGCCAATAGTAAATTTTTAGGTTTTGACCTGAAAGCTCATTTAAGTCCAAATGTGCTCTGGCCATAGGTCCAGAGACCAAATCAGTCTGTGTTACATCATCTCCTTTTTCTTTTACAACCCTTTAAAAAATGTAAAAACCACTCCACATCCAGCAGGATGGCTATAAGAAAGACAACAGAACAAGCATCGTTGAGGATGGGGAGAAATCGGAACTCTCACACTCTGCTAGTGGGAACAGAAAATTTGGAAAACGGTCTGGCAGTGTCTCCAAAGATTAAACAATTATCAGCAATTCCACTCCAAGATATCTGCCCAGGAGAAATGAAAACATGCATGCACACGAGAACTCGTACATGAATGTTCACAGCAGCCAAAAAGTGGAAACAACCCTAGTGTCCATCGACGGGTGATGGATAAACACAATGTGGTCCATCCATACAGTGGAATATTAGCCTTAAAAGGGAAGGAGATTCTGACACCTGCTACAACGTTCATGGACCTTGGGAACATGACGCTCAGTGAGAGAAGCCAGACACAAAAGGATAAATCTTGTGTGATCCCACTCATATGAGTCATCAAATCCATAGAGACAGGAAGTAGACAGTGGGGGCCAGGGGCTGGGGGAGGGGATGGAGAGTCAGTATTTGATGGGGACAGAGTTTCAGTCCGGGAAGATGAGAAAGTTCTGGGGATGGATGGTGGGGATGGTTGCGCGACAGTGTGAATGTGCTTAGTGCCGCTGAGCTGTGCGCTTACAAATGGTTAAAATGGCAACTTTTATATATATTTTATCACAATTAAAAACAAAAACAGGTTGTGCACAGATGTGGCCCTCGGACTGACCGCTCTGCTTTAGTAGCTCGTGGCTGGTGGGGACACTTCCCTGTTCAATCCCCACTGGGTCCCCAGGCACCTGGTGTCCTGCGGGGCTGGGGACCTCAGACACGAAGTACCTGGAAGATGCTGGCTCCATACGGCGTCCTCCAGGCATTGAGCAGGTTGTCTTTGCCGGTGCTCACGAACCACCGCCCTGGGGGAAGGAGGGCAGGGAGTTCAGGAGGGGGGCAGACTGGAGGAAGCCAGGGCTGGGGGCTGCGGGCAGAGTCGGGGCAGCCTGGTCTGGCCTCTCTTCTCGCTCCCTTTCTCACACCTCTGCCCGTCTCTGGGGGACAGGAGGCCCCTTAGCTGATGCTCGAGCTTCCCCGCCACATTCCAGATACTGAAGCCAAGGCCTCAAAGGGCTCCAACTGGCCTTCAAGAAGGGGGAGCCCCAGGAGAACGTTGCCAGATAAAAACAGGGTGCCCAGTTACATCTGAATCCGAGATCAACCACACATCATTTTTAGTACCGGTGGGTCCCATATAGTACATTATCTGTTTGTTCGGGGTTTTTTTTAAGTATATGTAAGTTCCATGAAATACTTGGGACATATCTATACTAAAAAAAAAAATAAAAATTTTAGTGTAAGTATATCCCATGCAATATTTGAGATATATCTGCACTAACACATTAGTTGCTTTTTAGTATAAGTATGTCCCACGTATTTGAGGGACATACTTATGCTAATAAATTATGTGTTGTTTAGTGTAAGTATGTCCCACAAAATACTTGGGATCTACTTACTTATGCTAACTAATTCTTTGTCCTTTAGAGTATGTCCCATGCAATACTTAGAATGGGACAAGTAAGGAATGACTGCTGTTTACCTAAGATTCAAATTAAACCAGGGATCCTCTTTTTCTGTCGTGGGTTTTTTTTGTTGTGGTTGTGTTTTGGCAACCCTGCCCCAGCAGCCCGGAGTCCCCACCCCAGACCGGCAGACACACACCACAGGAGGCGAATTTGAGGGAGAGCACACAGCTCTCGTGAAGATGCAGCTGGTATTTCTCGGGCTTTCGGACGTGCAGGATCTCCACGTTGCTGCTCTCCATGCCAACCGCCAGCCAGTCCTGGTTGGGGCAGTGGCCCAGGGAAAAAATCTGGGGGTGAAGAGGGAAGACAGGAGATGAAAAACCCCTTGGGATGTGGGGGGGATGCCCAGAGCTGGGGGGCCAGGGCGGGGAGGGGAGATGTCCAACACTCTCCCGCTGCAGCTCCCGCGTGGAGAAGCAGCTGGCCCTGGGCCTGGAGCACAGCAGGCAACTGCGTGTTGAATCATTAATATTAATCAGAATTACACGGAACCCTGGGGCCTCATATCCATTATCTGCTCTGAACGCACAACAGCTCTGGGAGGGAGGGAGGGAGGGAGCGGGCGAAGCCAGCAAGGACGGTAGCTCCCCTTTAGCAGATGGTGGAAGGGAAGCTGAGGCCACATCCAGCTCAAGGTCATATAGCAAGTCCATCAAAGACCAGGCCTTCTGACTCCCAACTTGGAAATTTCCCCACTTGGCAACACCAATTTTTACTTTGATTTGAAAGTACGTGGTGGCTACATAAGTCTGTGCCCCATGCCCAGCGCTGCACAGAGAGGCATAAGACCCTGACCCATCCTAAGCCTCTCAAAGTCTTACTGACAAATGAGACATGTGTGGAAAGAACCATAAATTCACAGCAAAGCCTGGAAGGTTTCACGTGTTCCTGGACATATAGAAGTGTTCCTGTATAAAGAAGGGCCCGGTGGGATGGGAGATATTCACCATGGGATCACCAGATACATATGCCACCCATCTAAATTTTGGGGACACGGGATGGACAACTATACCCACCTGCACCCCTGATTTCCCTATCAAAGGAAGCTTCAAGCTAAAGAAAAGGTAAAAAAAGAAAGAGTTCGGGGGCTAGTGCCCACCAGATTTCAAGGAGGGGGCAAACTGGAGATGGGTTTTGAAGGATGTGTAGGAGTTTACCAATGGGAGAAAGGAAAGGAAAGGCACGTCAGCCAGAGAGAACTGTAAGTGGGGAGGTCCAGAGGTATCACATGGCATGGTGTGTGTGAGACTAGAGCACAGAGGTCTTAAAGAACAGGCCAAGGAGCTCACAACCTGCCCCTAAGGCAATGGGAGACAGGATCTAGGTCCAGGGTATCTGGAGACCTGTCCTTGACTCTTTGCTCAGCCCTGGGGAGCCCCATGATTCTGTCCAACCCCTTCACCACATCCTTCAATCTGGCCTTCCACAGCACCCCCAATAGAGACCTCTCTGTGTCCGGCTCCTATCTGTCCCCTGGGGTCAGCAGCTCCCCCACGATGAGTCCTGGTGGGGGGAGGTGGTCAAGAGCTCTCAGTAGGGTCAAGGGGTTGAAGGCTGGCAGGAGAAACCAGCTACACAAGAGACAAAGGAACAGAGGAATGGCTTGGCAAGAGCATCTGGGAAGACGATCTGAGGGTCTTAGTAGCCCCACAGCTTGATACAAATCAGCTCCTTTGTGCTTCCCTGTGCTGTCTTTGAAGAATTAAAGAGGAAGGTCTGTGAATTTGTCTCAAGGACAAGAAAGATGGGCACAGAGAGCAGGTAGTTGGTCCTGCCCGGCATCTGGAAGTGGGTGCCTCAGGGGGAGAGGAAGGGAGGCCGGATTCCTGGAGCTTGTGTCCCCCTTCTGCCAGATCCCGTGCGGCACCTGGGAGCTGAAGTCATGCTGCTGCAGCTGGCGGCCCTCCCGCAGGTCCCAGCAGCGCACGGTGTTGTCCAGGCCCCCCGTCCAGAGCCGAGTGCCGTAATCAGAAATGTCGATGCAGCTGGCCCCATCCGTGTGGCCCTGGAATTGCCTGGAGGAAGGAGGGTCCAGGTGTCCATCCTGGAGGAGGTGCTGTTCCAGCATCCTCCCAGGCCGCTCCCACAGCACAAAGGGGAGACGGCAGGGGCTTGCCCGAGGTCACAGGGCACCGGCCACCCACCTGACCATGGTCTGGTTCTGCAGGTCCCAGACCACGATGTTGCCGTCGCTGCAGCAGGAAAAGCAGACCTTGGCGTCGGGGCTGACGGCCAGGGCGTAGCAGGCGGGCGCCGAGGAGGTCAGCTCCGCCTTGATGCGAGGGGTAGGGGCCGCCAGGTCCCAGATGGACAAGGTGCTGGCCTCACCACCCACTATCAGACTCCGGCCGTCTGGCAGCAGCTTGCAGGAACGAATGTAGTTGTCCCGGTTCTGGGAGGGGAGAGAAGCAAGGGCGTGGGGTAGCACCCTCAGCCATGCCTGCCAGAGCCCAGCTGAAAAAACCACCCCAGTAGGTCTGTAAACTCTGCCCCTGGTTGGCCTATAAGCGCCACCCTACTGGCCTTAATCTCCAATCCTGTTGGACTGTAAATTCCACCCTCATTGGCCTATAAATCCTGCCCCTGGTTGGCCCATAAGCTCCACCCCACTGGCCCATAAGCCCCAACCCTGTTGGGCTATAATCTCCACCTGTGGGTGCCCTAAGAGCTCTGCCCCAAATTGGCCAACAAGCCCCACCCTGGTTGGCCTATAAACTCCACCCATTGGCCTATAGCCCCACCCCTAGGTGGCCTGTAAGGTCCACCCGGGTCGGCCTATAAGCCCCGCCCCGCTGGCCTGCAAGCTCCGCCCCGCCCTCACCAGGCAGTCCAGCTGAGCCACTGGCGTCTTGGCGCCCGGCTGGCCCACGTCCCACACCTTCACACAGCCCTTGCCGCCCGTGTACACATGCTGCGTGGTGCCGCTGATGGTGACCGCGCAGACCACCTCGCCGTGCGCCAGCGTGTGCAGCTGCCGCGCGTGCCGCGGGATGCCGGCGCCCACCAGCGCGTCAGAAGGGAAGGGCACCGGCTGCATCTGCCCGTCCGCAGACACATGGAAGGAGTACGCCCTGGACGGGAGGTGGGGCATGACGCACGGGGAGCCGGGACCCTCCCCACCCTCACCCCCCTGCCTGTGCCCCCATGCGTTTAGGGACGGGGCCCCAGGATCAAAGGTCAGCGTGATACTGAAGAGGAAGGGGTCCGGCCGTGGCCTAGTGCATGGTAAGCAAGCACTTAGTGAATCTCCGTGGAACAGAGGATCCAGGAAGATGCCCTGTGAGCTCCAGAGAACGCAGTCCAATAGCAGCCACCAGCCACAGGGCCAGTTAAATTGAAAGAAATTTAAAATTTCAGTTCCTCAGTCGCAGTGACCACATTTCAAGTGCTCAAAAGCCACAGATAGCTGATGGCAATCAGATTGGACAGCTGTAAGTGTAGAACATTCCCGTCACGGCAGAAAGTTTTACTGATCTTGGGGCCGGGTCATTCTCTGGGGTGGGGCAGTCCTGTGCATTGTAGTGTGTTGAGTATTATCCCTGGCCCCCCACCCACTAGAGGCTAGAAGCACTTGGGTGTGACAACCAAAAATATCACCAGACATCACTAAATGTCCTGGGGTTGGGGGGGGCAGTAAGGAAGCACAAAATCTACCCCCTACATAACCCTCTCTACAGAGAGCAACTCCGGGAGCCCCGATTATCTTACAGAAGAGACTTTCTGGAAAGGCAGCAGGGAAGCCCAACACCCACCCCACAATGTAAGCACCTGAGAGGAGGCAGGGAGCCCCACCCTGGTACTCACGGCTTTCCCCCAGGGATGGTGGGCAGGGAGGAAGAGATGGACGACCCTCGGAGATGTGGATGAGACTCAAATGCCATCTGCCAACATGCCAACGGGGGTGTCATGGGCGGATGACTCAAACCCACAACTGCCCTCTCCCATGCTCACTTGCCATATTCCTCTCTGTTTATCAGAGAACACACCCCCCAATTTGTTTATCAGCCCCTCCCCAAGAAAGGGGAGATGCCCTTTCCTTTACCCATCCTACAGATGGGAAAGTGGAGGCTTTCACATGAGGGAACCCCAAGATCTCTGGCTGGGGAATCCTACGGCCCCAGAGGTGGAAGGATCCTGATGAATCTTCTGTCCAATGCACAGAACAGGGGTCAGCAAACTCCAGCCCCCTGCTTGTTTTCATAAATAAAGTTTTATTGGCACATAGCCATTCCTGTATATGTTGTCTATGGTGGCTTTTGAGCTATGAAGGCAGAGTTGAGTAGTTGTGATAGGGATCAACTGGTCTGCAAGGCCAAAAATACTTACCATCGGGCCCTTTACAGAAAACACTGCTGACCTCTGTTCTACAACACCCCTTGCAAGTGCCCACCCAGCCTCAGGCCTTGAATAACTCCAATGACAGGCATTTTATTCCCTCTGGAGGCATCTACACCCACTGCAGGATGGCTCACTCTAGCAAGCATCTGTCCCAGTACTGCCCTCTGGGGCCCACGCACCAGCTCAGGAGTCTCATGCCTCTCCTTCAACTCTTTCCCATGGTACATCACTTCCAGTCCTCTCCCTGGGGTAGTCCTTCCTCTACAATCTACCAGAATCACCAACGTCCCTTAAAAATCAGGGCAAACAACTGCACACCAGGCTGAAGCACACCCTCACATCCCATGGCTGAGGTTCTCTGGTTCTCTTAACGCAACATAATCACAGTTGTTTCTTCCACAGTCACAGGTGCTTATTTGTATTAAGCTTGTGGGGCTACTGAGACCCTCAGATCATCTTCCCACATGCACTTGCCAGGCCAGGACTTTCCTCTCTTTCCCAATTCCCTGGTCTTTGGGTGTGTACCTGGTTTCTCCTCCCAGCCCCCAGCCCCTGGGCCCTGCTCACACCTCCTGGCATCTCCCACCCTGACGACTCACCATGGGGGAGCGTCCATACATCACAGAGCCGCTGACCTGGGGGGACAGGTGGAGGCTGACGTAGGAGCTGGGCACAGAGAGGTCCCCATTAAGGGCGCTGTGGGAGCCCAGGCTGAAGGATGTGGTGAAGGGACTGGACAGGGTCAGGGGACTCCTCAGGGCTGAGAGAGAAGAGACAAAGACAGATCTTCAGACACGTTGGATCCAGATCCTGCCTTCCACTGCCTTGGGGGAGCTCCAGGGCTCTCATGCTCTGGCCCAGCATCCACCATACCCTGTCCTATCTCCAGACATTTACAGCTGCTGTTCGCTCTGGCCAACAAGCCTTTCCTTTTCCTTTTTCAGTTATTGAATTCTTACTCATCCTTCAAAACCCAGACTCAATGTCCAGCAACATCTCAGGAACATCCTTGAGCCTCCCCACTCCACCCCTTGCCTCCAACCTGGCCCATCTTGGGTCCCTTCCTCCACCCCAGACCTGATCACACAGAGCTGGGAATTTTGGGGTCTGGGTCTCCTCCCCCACCACCTGGGAGCTCCCTGAAGGCAAGTTCCAGGGCTAGTTTCTTTCTGGGACTCCAGAACCAGCCAAAGCCCGGCCATAAGACAGAAAAGAGGAGCACTGTCATCCCCATATTAATGATGGGGAAAGTGAGGCTCAGAGAGGTTGATCACTTGCCCGAGGTCACACAGCTGGTGAGTGTCCAAAGCTGGCCTGAAACCCAAGCCTGTCTAACTCCAAAGCTTGTCTCTCCAGCACTGGGCTGAAGCCCCAGAGCAAGTCACTTCCCCTCTCTGGGCCTCAGTTTCCCTTGTCTGGGCCAAGACAATGAAGAAACGGAGGCCCAGAGTGAGGCAGTGTCTATTCTGAGTCATGGAAAGGGCAAGGCAATGCCCCAGCTGGAATCCACACGTCCTGCCTCCCCCACCCCCCACCATTGTTTAGAACTCCCCGGAAAGGAGGCCTGTCCTGGCAGGCACCAGCAGGTGCTCACCAATACTGTCCGTGGAAGGTGCTGGCTTGGCCGCGAGCTGGCGGAGGTGACTGGCAGAGCTGGGCCCAGGGGTGGACGCGTCCTGGGGCGGGGAGGAGTCTGAGGACTTGGAGGCAGGGGTGCCGGCAGGAAGATCGTTCTGGGGGAGAGAGGGCAGCACTGAACACCCCCAGGCACCTGGTGCCTTGCAGCCCAAGGATCTGGGCAGAAGGTGAGTTGGAGGAGGGAGTACACCTGGAGCAGGCCAGGGCTAATGCAGGGACACACACACCAGGGGAGCGGGCCCCACAGCCGACCTCCTGAGCATGGGGCCCGCTCCCCTGGTGTGTGTCCCTGCACGCATCGGAACACCAGGCGGGCGCCTGAGCGTCCACCCCACGGGGTGCACACACGTGCGTGCCCACGGGAACCCAGGCAATCTTGGGAGAACTGCGCATGCGGGTGATAAGGTACACAGGGCAACCACAGGGTAAGGGATGCGGTGAACATTCCTACATCTGGGGCATGGTGGGTGCACAGGGATCACCAGAGAAGGCGATGCACAAAGTTAGAGGCTGGCGCATCCTTCAGGGCCAAGGAACAAACTCTAGGATGGGCTCTCGAAGTAGGAGACCACAGTATGCTCCCAGATGCAAGACCCTCACCCGGTACTGCTGGGCACTCCCTTGCTCCCCACGAGGAGCTCCCCCACTGCTGTCCGTCCCCGTGGGGACCCTGGAGGAGAGGGGAAGCCGGACCTCCTTCACGGAGGAACAAGCTCTGTCTCGGCTTCCCGCCGTTGCTTCCTTTGCCTTTCAAGAAACTTCACATCCTCGTCTTGTGTGGGCTGCACCCTATCCTTCCTTTACAAGGTCACACATTTTGTGACAGCCACACTCACACACCCACGACAGGGAGTGGATGGTGCCAACGTGGGGACCGGGGGGGGGGGGGGCTTCTCCATTAGAACAGCGCTGCCCCTCCCCCTTTTTGTCTCCTTGGAGTGGGAGGAGGGCACAAGAGATGCGATGGGAGCCCCAACCTTGGCGGTTGCCATAGCAACCTGCTGGGAGGGGAGGCCTAGAAACCGACACAGTCTCCCTGGTAAGGGCAGGGCAGGGGTCTGGGGAAGATTTGGGGGCAGGGACAAAAGGAGCTGAATTGAGAATGCCTGGGGGAGTGCTTTTAGGTGGTCCATACAGCTGGCATTAAACATCAGGAGGCCCAAGGAGAGAGTTGTTCTGATACGGATCATCTTTTCTTGCAGGGACCACATCTCAGGTTGGGGCTGGTGTGTCCCCAAGGCCTTAACACTCCCAGGGCTGGAATCAGCCTGGCCAAGCCAGCAATTCTATAGTTTCACTGTGTTTATTTTCACCAGATTTCCTATTTATTGCAAGAGATACTTGGTTTCCACATAAGATGGTGAGCTGCCTTTTAATATTATTTACAAAGTTGCCTTTTCAGATTTACTGCGGCTCCAGAGTGAGCCCACTTAGGAAAAGTTACTGGACTGATGTAGAGGCGTCTTTTAGGAAGGCAGCAGAATAATCACTAAGGGAATCCTGGACCGCAACAGCCTGTTTCATTTCTCATCACTCCACACCTAATGTGGTAGAATCTGTTTCCAGGTCCCCAGGATGAATAAAATGAGTTTCAAGGCTTCCCCTACTCCTTACCAAGACGAGCTCCTTGGTTCTGGGGAGCGGTGAGCCAAGGCTGGAGGCCAAGGAGGCTGGACTGTCCACCAGGTCCCGACGGGCAGGGATGCAGATGGGTGCCTTTCCACATGGGGTGGTTGCTGGGCTGGGGGGCTCGGAGGGTTGGTCCTGGGTTGGAGGAGGTGATGATGAGTGGGGTGGGGGCGGGGTAAAGTGGCAGGTATAGAGAGGCCCTCTCTATACCCTGCTCGTGTTCTACCCCAACCTCTAGACTGGGCACCTAGGACCCACCTTGGGAGGATTATGAAACCTCCCTGAGCCTCAGTGGACTCAGCCGTAAAATGGGTTAAATGACATAAGCACACATAGCAAGGACTATATATGGGCTTGGTTTTGTTTTCCCCCATTGAACAGATGGGGAAAAGTGAGGCCGGGGAAGGGGGTGTCACTCTCCCAAAGTGACACGGTGAGCCAGGGCTTGAAGCCGCTTCCATTGCCCACATCCAGGGTTCTCTGGGTCTCAGTTTCCCCACCTGTGCTATGGAGAGGAGGTCAGCCTGGGGTGCCCCAGTTTCTCCTACTTCCCCTGGCCCCATGCCATCCCCATCCCAGCCATCCCATAGAGAGGAGAACACCAGGACACCCACTCCCTCTGGGCCCCCCAACTCCCCAGATAGCCCACTGCCTGCTCTGTGCCCAGATCTCCTAGTCCTGAGGTCAGAGTGGGAGGAGGTTGGACCCCGACTCACCTCGTCCACCACCAGGTTGTAATCGCTCTTGTCCTCATCACTCTCCTGGGGGGACAGTGGGGAGAGAGCTCACCCTGGCCATGCTCCTGCCTCCACGCCCCCTCACATCTCTTCAGGGGGGTTTGACTGGGATTCTGTGGTTTGGTTCATTTGCTCAAGTACAAGGGAGGCCGGGGGGAGGGGGGAATCCTTCAATGGAGGAGATGGAGCTGAGTGCCCAGGAGGTGCTGTGTGGCCTCACTTTACTCCTCTGTGCAGTGGGGGAAGAGCCAGAGACCAGGAGGCATCCTTACCTCCTTCCCAGCTCTCGACCCACAGGGGCAATCAATCTCTCAGGCTGGTCCGCCTCCCACACTGTCTGCCCACCCCAGTCCATGTGTGCCCCTCACTCACATAAGGTCCCGACAGATCCTTCTCCTCCGCTCTCTGCTTCCCATTGCCACCCGGGCCGCTGGGTCGCTCCTCTTCTGCCACACTCTCTGGGGGTGAGGGGGATGCACTCTGCAGAGACACAGGGCCCCAGACTGCGTCCTGGTCCAGCCAAAACCAAGGATCCCCATCACTGTTACTAGGATCTGTGCCTCAAGCTTCCCATCTGGGAAAAGGGACCTTCCGAGGGCAGACTCGGTGGGGTCATGACAACCACAAATGTCCCCAGACATTGCCCAGGGTCCCCTGGGGGGGGCACTAGTGTGAACTGAGATGAGCTCTAAGTGCAAAATGCATTCGGATCTTGGAGGCGTAGTACAAGAAAAAGAACGGAAAAGATCCCATTAAAACTGTTCTATGTTGGGAGTTTGGGTTTTGTGGGGGGCATGAGCCAACCTTGCAGGTCTCCTTGCATGACCCTGCAATAAACCTTTCTCTGCTCCAAAAAAAAACCCCAAAAAACAAAAAAACAAGACTGTTTTATGTTGATTACAGGTTGAAATATTTTAGATGCATTGTGTTAAATAAAATTTACTATTGAAATTCATTTCACCTGATTAACTTTTTTTTTTTTTTTTTGCGCGGTACGCGGGCCTCTCACTGTTGTGGCCTCTCCCGTTGCGGAGCACAGGCTCCGGACGCGCAGGCTCAGCGGCCGTGGCTCACGGGCCCAGCCGCTCCGCGGCATGCGGGATCTTCGCGGACTGGGGCACGAACCCATGTCCCCTGCATCGGCAGGCGGACTCTCAACCACTGCGCCACCAGGGAAGCCCAAACTTTTTTAATGTGCCTACTAGAAAATTTACAGTGATGTTTACACAAAGCTAAACGTGTGACTGAAACTGCATAAATAAACACACACACACACACACACACACACACACACACGAGTGCATGTAAAACCGTGAAGTGGGAATAAGCCCTGTGGGTTGCACCCATGTCTGTTTCCTGGCTTTGATATGGTATTTTAGTTTTGCAAGATGTTATCATTGGGTGAGGGGTGCACGGGACCTCCTTGTACATTTCTTTGCAACCTCCTGGGCATCTGTAATGATTTCAAAATTAAACAAGTTTAGGGCTTCCCTAGTGGCGCAGTGGTTGAGAGTCCGCCGCCGATGCAGGGGACACAGGTTCATGACCCGGTCTGGGAAGATCCCACATGCCGCGGAGCGGCTAGGCCCGTGAGCCATGGCTGCTGGGCCTGCGCGTCCGGAGCCTGTGCTCTGCAACGGGAGAGGCCACAGCAGTGAGAGGCCCACGTACCGCAAAAAAAAAAAAAAAAAATTAAACAAGTTTTAAAAAATTACCTACAGGGCTCACATGATACTTCTATTGGTCAGCACTCTTGTATATGATAAAATGGAGTGGATGAGGGATAAATTAATGATGGAGGGATGGATGGAATGCTACCTGAGCATGCATTCATTTATTCAATTGCAAAAACTCGCTAGAGATGGAAAATTTAAAATAAATAAAACTCTAGTCTTATGGGCATCCCCCCCACCAAAAAAAAATGGCTACACAGTGTGAAAGCAGGATGTGGTCTCCTTCTGAGGCCCCTATCAGCTCAGAACAAGCAGCTTAAGCCACATGTGAAGACAAAGCAAATGTTAGATAAGAGGGCAAATCCCCCATGCCCCTCAACTTACCCTGCTCGGGGCTCTCTCCACTGACAGGCGGGGGCGTGGTGAAGAGAGAGAAGGAAAAAGAATGAGGTGTCTGTGCCACCGTGCCAGAGCGCAGAGCCCTCCACAGTGTATAAAGCCCCCTTCCCAGCTCAGAAACCCCCTTCTCCTTCCAACACCCTTGCAAGGGGTGGACAATCCCTTCCCTGCACCATTCAGATAGATGCTCAGAGAGGGATAGAACTTGCCCAAGGACACATAGCCCACTGGGAACAGAGTTGAACCCGCGACCCTGCAGCCCCTTTGGTGAGTTTGATGGTCCTGCTATCCTCTCCTTGGGCCCCTGCGTGCCCCCAGCCCGCGGCATCTGGTGATGCCCACTCACCTCTGGACCCCTCGGCCTCCACTCCTGTCCGGTCCTCCTTGGCGACCGCGGCCAGCTGAGCCTGGGCGGCCAGGGCTCCCGACAGGGCCAGCAGCCCCGTGGCACTGCCGCCCACCAGCCCAGCCGGGCGAGGGGTGAGGGGCACAGGGGGGGCGTGGTGGGACAGTGGCTGGAGCTGCTGCTGCTGGAGAGGAGGGGGGTGGGCCAGGGGCGGGTGGGGGCGGGGCCCCGGCCGTGCCCTACCACCCCCACCAAGAGGCTATGGAGAGAGAGCCGGGACAGGCAGAGGTCCAGGCAGAAGGGGCACCCTTGAGGTCTCCAGGGCGGCCAGAGCCCAGGCCAGCTGCCCACCCGGCACCCCCAGCTTCACCACCCACGGCGGGGCGGGGGCCGGAAGACTCACGCCGATGAGGCTGTTCAGCTCCCCCACGGTCACCTGCTTGGCCCGCTCCACGGCCTGCAGGACCTGCTGTTGGTGCTGGGGGTGGGTGGGGGGAGGGCGCTCAGGAGAGCCCCCCATCTGCTCGGCAACCCCACCTCCCAGGCCACGCCCTCCGGGGCCCCTCTTCTTCTCTCACTTTTTTTTTTTTTGGCGTCGGGATCTTAGTTCCCTGACCAGGGATCGAACCCGTGCCCCCTGCCATGGGAGCGTGGAGTCCTAACCACTGGACCGCCAGGGAAGTCCCTTTTCTCGCTTGCTCTTTGTAGTTTCTTTCTCTCCCTCTCTCCCTTTCCTTTCAAAATCATGAAACAGACAAAGAAACAAAGCATTTAAGTGCAGTTCAAACTAATAATTAGAAATCGGGGTTTATACACCAGGGTCCCTCCCTGGGCACTGCTTACATGGGGGCCGGGTCACCCTCTGTGGGCGTTCGTCCCAGGCACTGTGGGGTGTGGAGCAGCATCCTTGGCCCCCCACTCACTCGATGCCAGGAGCACCCCCAGGGGTGATGACCACAAATGTCCCCAACATCACCCAGTGTCCCCTGGGGGCAGAGTCACCTCCAGTAAAGAACCACTGTACAAATCAGTACCCGAGTACCAACCACCCAGGTCACAAAATACAAACCGGCAGCCTCTAGAGGCCCCGTACGCCCCACCCTCGTCCCACCCTCCTTCCTCCCTCTCCCCACCTTCCTGCAGTGACAAAATGTCCTCAGTCTGCACTGTTGGATACGGAAGCCACATGTGGCCATGGGCACTTGATATGTGGCTGGTGCAACTGGGAACGGAATGCCTCCTTTAATTTAATTTAATAGAAATTTACATGTAAATTTAATGTAATACATTTTAAAAGAAATATAAATTAATACAAATGTAAATGGCCACACACGGCTGGTTGCTCCTGTGTGTGCTCTAAGGCCACTTGTGCACATGCAACTACCCAGGATGGGGATTTGGGCTGTGTGACACCGCTAAGGAGGTGTCAGGATGCTAACCAGGCGCTCCTGTACAGGTCATGCCTGTGAGAGCGTGTCCAGGCCATGGATTAGTACATTTTGACTGTAAAGGGCCAGAGAGTCAATATTTTCAGTTTTGCAGGCCAGAGGGTCTCTATGGAAACTCCACAACTCTGCCATTTTATGGGGAAAGCTGCCATAGACAATAAGGCCATGAGTGGGCATGGCTGTGTGCCAATAAAACTTTATTTACAAAACAAGCGAAGGGCCGGTAACTTGGCCCGCGGGCTGTACTTTGCTGACTCCTAGTCTAGAAGCATGGAATTTGCTGGGGCACCCATGTGTCTTAATTCACTCCTTCCTAAAGTCTTTTTACCCTGTTTCCTGTGGTTTTGGCCTTTCTCACTCCGGGCCACCTTGTCCCCATCCTGGGCTTTCAGACACCATCTCTAAGTCTGAGACCAGACAGAATCTCACTCCATCCCAAGAGCCCAGAAACCTCAGATTCAATGAGGTCCAAACCAAGAGGAGAACCTTTCCCTTTTTTGGTCCCCAACACAGTGAGGGCCCCCCTGTATCCACCCTGTGTCAGAATCCATCCTCTTGTCTCTCTGGAGACAGGATGCTCCAGATGGAAGCAGGAACAGGGGATGCAAAGGTCCTGAATAACTTGGGGCATTCGCACAAGGGCTAACTTTATTTTTTTAAGTTTCAATGAAGTGCTCATACTCTATAGTTTTATCTGCCCTGTTCCACCTTTTTGTACTATTGTGGTTACAAATACGTAAGAGTTACCCTTTTAACCATCTTTAAGTGCACAGCTCAGTGGCATTAAGTACATTCACACTGTCCTGCGACCAGCCCCACCATCCATCTCCAGAACTTTCTCATCTTCCCAAAAGGAAACTCTGTCCCCAGGAAACACTGACTCCCAACCCCCCTCCCCCAGCCCCTGGCCCCCACCATCTACTTCCTGTCTCTATGGATGTGATGACTCTAGGCACCTCCTATGAGTGGAATCAGACAGTATTTGTCCTTTTGTGACTGGCTGATTTCACTCAACATAATGTAGGGACAAAGTGCTAAGGACTAATTTTTATTGGATGTTTACTAAGCACCCAGCATCATCTTCACCACCTTGTACGTATCAACTGTTCTAAATTTCATGACAGAGGCACAGAGAGGGCAAGCCACTAGCCCAAGGCCACACAGCCAGGACTTGGACCGAGGCAGCCTGGCTGTAGGCTTGAGCCCCCCTCCTCCCCCTCAGCCAACACCCCCTCTCCATCCCTAAGGCCCCAGCCCAGCCAGTGCCCAGGCCCCCAGGCCACCCAGCAGAACCAGTGCCTGTGGCATCCAGCCAGACCCCCTCCCCCACCCTTCTTCCAGCTCCGCTCCCCATCCCCCCACCAAGCCCACTCACCTCCTGCGTCAGGAAGGGGATAATCTGAGCACAGATACCACTGAGGCGCTTCACAATCTCAGCCTGGCAGGAAGCAATGGGGAGGAGGCTTGGAGGGGAGGCTGTCAATCCAGAACCTCCACTCCAGGGCATAACAAGCCTTTGCAAAGCTTGGGGTGAGGGGCCTGTCACCCGCAGGTGCGAGTGTGGGGCACGGGCTCCGGGATAGACTGAGAGCCTGGCGAGGACATCGTCCACCTGATATCCAGGGCAGCCTTGAGCCGGAAGACAGGACAGACAGATCCACCATCCGCCAGACCCACTCAACAGAGATTTCCAGAAAGCAGCTGCGCAGCCACCCAGCGCAGACTGGGACCCCGAGAAGCTTTGAGTTTGAGCCCTGGCTGGGCCCAGGTCTCTCTCGGGCATGGCCCCTCTCTGGGTCGTGCCTGCGCCCAGGGGCTGTAGTCAGGGGTGATCCCAGAGCACCACACTCAGGGGTGTGATGCTGTGATATAAGAAATATACATTTGGGGGAAAAGAATTTAAAAAAGAATAGATACATGCATATTGTATAACTGAATCACTTTGTTGTACACCTGAAATGAACACAACATTGTTAATCAACTATAGTCCAATATAAAATAAAAAGTTAAAGAAAAAGAAAGAAATATACATTTGGTCTTTGCCTCAGTTCCCGGCACAGAGCTCCTAAACCCCTAGAGATTTCTGAGTATTAGAGGCAAGAGGAGCATCTTCTGTTATTCACAATAAGCCCGTTTCACCGGCACGTGAGTTTATTAAGAGGGATGGAACTTTCAATCCCACCCCCAACTCCGACCTCCGGGGAGTCAAGAGGAGCTGGAGATTGAGTCAATCACCAGTGGCCAGTGGTGAAATCAATCGTGCCTAGGTAATGAAGCCTCCCTAAAAACCCCTAACTGAAGTGGTTTCCAGAGCTTCTGGTGGGTGGACACATGGAGGTGCAGGGAGGGGGCGCCCGGAGCGGGCACGGAAGCTCCATGCCCTTCTCCATACCTTGCCTTGTGTATCTCTTCCATCTGGCTGTTCCTAAGTTATATCCTTTATCATGAAAGGGTGATAGTAAGAGCTTTCCCAAGTTCTGTGAGCCATTATAGCAAATTATCAGACCAAGGAGTGGGTCGCGGGAACCTTGATGTATAGCTGGTGGGTCAGAAGCCCAGGAGGTCTGGACTTGCGATAGGCATCTGAAGTGGGGGCAGTCCTGGGGGGCTGATCCCTGAACCTGTGGGGTCTACACTGACTCTGGGTAGTGTGTTAGGATTGAGCTGAAGTGTAGGACACCCAGCTGGTGTCAGAGCTGGAGAACTCGTTGGTATGGCAAAAGCAAAATATTTGGTGTCAGAGGATAGAGATAGGATACAAAGAGTGTGGTTTTACTTGTAGGTTTCACCTGGGACCGGGGCTGGGCCGGGGACACCCATAGAGGCTGAACAGAGGGGAAGCATGTGGGTGGGTAAGGGGGTGTTTTGTCAGCCTGTGCTTTGCCTCTGCCTCAGTTACAGGAGTGCTGGGTGCTGTGTGTATCTGGGTGAGGTTTGTGTCCTCCATCTGCTACCAGGAGGGTGGAACGAAGGCTCCTAGGGCCGGTACCCTATCCCTTACCCTCCATCCTATAAGGGGATCTATCTCATGCACCCATGGGACCACACCACGCTCCAGGCATACAAGCCCCCCACCACCTACACCAGACGCAACAGAGCCCCCAGAGACCCAGAAAAGCACGCCAAGGCAGGTGCCCCCAGGCACTCCCAGTGTACCCCTACTTCTTCCCACCCACCAGAAAGACCCTAGGTTCTGCCCGTTTATTCTAATATTTGGATGGACAAAATCCAAGATTCCTTCAACCTCAGAATCTTGGGGTCCCTTTCATCCCCTTAGAAAACATCAGGGTGCATGGGTGGTAGAATCCTCGCCTGCCCTTAGAAACCATCAGAAAATCTTGAGCTCAGTCTCAGGATCTGGGGGTTAATCTTGAGCAACTGAAGTCAATTGCAGAACCTTCAGGTCTAACTCAGAACCTTGAGATCACACTCAGAAGCTGAGTACAATCTCAGAACCTCAGATCATTAGGGTTAATCTCAGAACATTCAAAACAGCGACAGAACCTTGGGGTCCATCTCAGACTCTCAGGATCCATCTCCAAATGTCAGACATGCTGATCTGAAAGGGACCTCTAAGACTGTCCGTCTGTCCCCCTCCTGGGACAGAAGTCCCTCCCCAGCCTGGCTGACCTGGCTGCTGGCTTCTGCTATGAGCCTTCCTTGACAGGGACGCCTGGCCCCTGTCCACTGCCCGACTCTCTCGTAGACAAGATCTCCAGAAGTTCATTTTCCTTTCATGAGGCTGAAATCTGGCCCCCTGATCCCAGAGATTTCAGGATAAGACCTCTGTTCCCTGGAGCAGAGGGAGCGATGGGTCCCTCTCACAACTTCCATCCCCACCCCCCGCCACTGGACATCCTTACCCCCAACACACAGTTACCTGCTTATGCATTTCAATGTTGAGCCCGTAGGACATTTCATAGTACTGCAAAGAAAAAGCTGTCTGGCAATGTCCACCGTGCCCATGGATGTCCAGCTGCTCTGGGTGACGCTGGGTCTTCCAACAGCCTCCAGACTGGGGGGGATCACAGCAGGACCCAGAGCCTCCCAGCTCCTTGGGGGCCCAGAGGGGGAGCCCAGAGAAGAAAGCAGGAACCCCCTTCATTCTCCCCAAGGGAGTGGGGGAGGGGGGCAGTACCCAGATACCCTAGCCCCTCAGAGATGCTCATGAGGAAAGTGGGCATCCTTGCCTTATTGTTCTTAAGAGCTGGGAGGGCCCTGGGAGACAGCCTGAAATCCCAAGCTGCCCACTTTACAGATGAGGGAAAATGAGGCCCAGAGCAGGCCGGGGACTTGCCCCAGAGTGGTACTGGAGTCGGGGTTCACACCCCACGTGTTTTCACTCGCTCTCTTCCCCACTCTCCCCCACCCCCCCGCCCCATTTTGACAACCCGCCTTACCATGACATAATGTCGCTGCATTTCTGTCTTCTCACTGGCCAACTTCTCACACTCCAGCTTGAGGCTGGGAAGGAGACGGGGCATCGGCATCCCACTCTCCCTGCCCCCGCAGCAGGGACACCCACGGACCCCTTCTGGGCCAGTTTCCAAAGCGATGGGATTGGCTCTCCCCCGCCCCTCTTCCTCACACACACACCCCACCTCCCGCCCCCAGGCCCACCCCATCCCTTCCCAGGCTCAAAATGTCCCAGCACTGGACCATCCGTCCTCCTCACCTGCGATTCTACCTGGAAGCCCTCCCTCCCCACGCCCCTGGGGCTCCTCCCTCCTCCCTGCACACTGGAGGCCCCGCCCCTTCGCCCCAGCGGGCCCCGCCCTTCGCCCCCAGGTGAGCCCCCGGGTGAGATCCCGGGGCCCCTGGGGCGGGACGCCCCCGCCCCCCCTCACCTGTGGTACTGAGCCTGAAGAAACTGGAATTCTTCTTTGATGCGGTCGCAGATCTCCAAGATTGAGAACTTGAAGGGCTGGCCGGACTGAAGCGGGGTCTGGGGGTGGGAAGCCGGGGTCTGAGTTCCCGGACGCGCGACCCTCCCTACCCCCCGCAGCCCGGCCCCCCACTCACCGGGTGCCTTCCCTGGGGGTACATCCTGTCGATTCGCGAGGCCCCCCTTCCCACGCCGCCTGAGCTTGACGATATGGGGACGGGGGCGGAGAGGCGGCGGCGGCGGGATGGGGGAGAGACTGGGGTGGGGGGCTGCCCGAGAAAGAAGGGGGCAGCGGCGTGGGGCAGGGGACCCCGGAGTCCCCCGCCCCCCGAGCGAGCGCGCGGGGTCGCGGGGACCGAGGGGCGCCGAGGCCCCTGCCGGGCTGGGGGCGCGAGGCCGGCGCAGAAGGTCGGGCGAGCAGCGGCCGGTTTCAGAGGCGCGGGCGACGGGCCCCGCGCAGAGCCGCCTCCCTCCGGCGGGGCTCGGCCGGGAGCCGCGGGCAGAGCCGCCTTAAGGTGGCGCCGCCGCCCCCCGGCTCACCCGCCCCGTGCACCCCCGCGACCGCGGCCGCGGCCTTGGGACCAACCCCTCACTTGCACCAGGGACGAGCCGGGAAACTGAGGCTCGCGTCCAACCCCGCAAACGTCGCCCCCTCGCCCTCCCTGAGGGCCCATGAGAGAAAAGCGCAATAAATACCTAGTGGCCCACTGTGGGAGTAGCTTGGTGGGGAGGGGCAGTTGGGGGCCAGAAATGGCCTTTCTGAGGAAGTGGGCTAAGACAAGTGTCGGGAGGAAGCAGCCTGCCGAGTGCTGGCTGGGAAACCTGCCTGCACAGAAAGGGACCAGGTGAGGGATGGGGCTGGGGGGCAGAGCTAGGCCCTCGCCTTTTCCTGGCCTCAGTATTCGCATCTGTAAAATGGCAGAGGCAGGGGCTATTTTTAAAGGACACGGTACATGAACAGCCCTCAGCCTGGCCTGGCACAGAGTAGACTCCCAGAGCTGGGAGTTGGGTTCTGGTGGCCACCACCAGCAGACTGGGCTGTCTCCCCTTTCAGATGATGGGCTCCTAGAAAGCAGAGGTCCCAAGGAGGATGAAAACGAATCTCTGCCATCAGACTGAGGTCTCGCTGAGGGCACGGGCTCCATCTCCCATCGCAGACCACAAATATCCAGTGAGGTAGGAGGTGGGACATTCTTATTCCCATCATGCTTCTGAGAAACTTCAGGGTTGTTTGTAAAGTCAATCAACAAACACGTGTTTACAGCCTACTGTGGACCAGACACTGTTCTAGGCACTGGAGCTCAGCAGGGAAGCAGACAGAGAAAATCCCCGGCCTCCTGTTAATAGCTGCCCCTGTGTCATTGAGTAAGCAGAAGCATACAAAAGCCCTAACAAATTCATTGGGCATCTATGGCATGCCAGGCATCCTTCCAGGCACCAGGGTGGATGGAGAACAGATTCCTGCCTTCTCTGAGTTCAGGGGATAAGGCAAGATCACAGCTTGGAAATTATGAAGTTCTGTGTGCATACAAAGAGGAGTTTAGGGGGCAGTTATAGAGGTAGCGGAGGGAATCTACTTATCTGGGGTGTCTGGGAGAGACCTCTTGGAGGAGGTAATGTTGGAGATGAGACCTGGAGGATAAAGATGGGCAGCCATGGGAAGGGAGGGGAAGAGAGATCCTGAGGATAAAGATATGAGTGTGTATGTGTGTTAGAGGGAGTGAGTATTTGATGGCTCCCTATTGCCATCAAGATAAAATCCAAACTCCTCCCTCTTCCCACAAGGCCCTGCACAAACCCCCTCCCCACCCTCCCTTCCGTGATCCCAACTTCCTTCACTTTCACTCTCATTCACTCTGCTCCAGCTACACAGGCTTCTCCTGCTCACCTGGTACAGTCCTGCCCCAGGGCCTTTGCACTTCCTGCTCCCTTTACCTGGAATGCTGTTCCCTTGCTTCTCATCATTCAGGTCTCAGCTCAGATGTCATCTCCTCAGAAAGGCCCTTCCCGGCCACCCATCTAAGCAGTGCTCACCCACTCCACCCTGTAATTCTCAAACACTGCCTCCTATTCTCTCTCTTTCTAGGTCCTATCAGAGTTTGTTTCGTTTGTGTTTTGTTTTGACATGATTGTGTTTCTTCTTGGGTTGTTGTACTCATTATTTGGTTCCCTCGCTAGGTTGTGTAGGGACAGAGCCCGTCTTGGTGCCTGCAGAGACTGGCATACAGTAAGTGCTCAGTAAATGAACAGGCACTGGCGTGAGAAGAAGAAACAGGAGATTCAGCTAAAACCAGAAATCACTGGCCACACTCCTGCTGGGGAATTCTAAGAAACAGGGGGTTCCACAATTCCATGATGCCGAAAGTTCATCATTCCAAGTTTGGGGGCATCTGTGAAGTCCTAATTCCAAAGCCTTTCCAGGAGGTGCCTTACCTCCCCTGGGAAGACAACAGGTCCCCTCTCTGGGCCACTAGTCCAAGCAGTGGTACCCCTTCCTCATCCTCTTCTCCTTCAGAGCCTCTGTCTTCTCCTGGGCCTTCTCTTGACAGAAGCCCTCCTCCTGGGGCTTCCCTGGTGGCACAGCGGTTAAGAATCCTCCTGCCAATGCAGGGGACACGGGTTCAAGCCCTGGTCTGGGAAGATCCCACACGCTGGGATCATCCCACAAGCCCGTGCGCCACAACTACTGAGCCCACATGCCACAACTACTGAAGCCTGCGCACCTACAGCCCATGCTCTGCAAAAAGAGAAGCCACCACAATGAGAAGCCCATGCACTGTAACGAGAGTAGCCCCTGATCACCACAACTAGAGAAAGCCCGCGTGCAGCAACAAAGACCCAATGCAGGGCTTCCCTGGTGGCGCAGTGGTTGAGAGTCTGCCTGCCGATGCAGGGGACGCGCGTTCTTGCCCTGGTTTGGGAAGATCCCACATGCCGCGGAGCGGCTGGTCCCGTGAGCCATGGCTGCTAGGCCTGCGCGTCGGGAGCCTGTGCTCCGCAACGGGAGAGGCCACAACAGTGAGAGGCCCGCGTACCGCAAAAAAAGAAAAAAAAGACCCAATGCAGCCAAAAAAAAAAAAAAAAAAGCCTTCCACCTCTTCAAGTTCAACAGCTCCTTCTTGACCCTCATCTCGCAGCTCTGCCCAGAGCAGCCTTTCCTCTCCCTGCCCCCATGCCCTCCTGATCTGTTGGCCCTCCTTCCTCTCTGAGGGCTGGTCCTCCTAGCCCAGTCACCTGAACGTCACCTTTGCCCACACCTCTGGTTGCCCAGGCTCTGAGCCACCATGTTCTCTTGGAGGCTTCAGGCATCACCTTCATGGAGATGGTTCCAAGCTCTGGCTCCACTCCTGGTCCTACCCTGAGACCCAGCCCTGTGAGTAGAGCCACCAAATAATGGATGTCCCCTTGGATGTTACCCAGGCCACTAGATGCAGCACCTTCGCCCAGACCTGTCCCTCACCCTGTCGGGCCCCAGTCCACCCTGATCCCCCAGGACAGAGCATCAGCCTAGCCTCTTTTCTCCCCTTCTCCTGCCATGCAACCCTGCTCCCCATTCACACAGCCCCCTACCTGCACCAGCCCTTCATCCTCTCCCATCTGGACCTCAAGCCACCTTCTCACTCTGAGCAGCTTTCACTATTGTCACCTTCTGTTTGAGTCTGGCCCTCCCTCACTTAAAACCCTCCCATGGCTTCCTATGGTCCTTGGGACAAAGTTCCAGATCTTTAGGCAAGCAAGCATCAGATGCCCTGCACCACCTGGCCCAGCCCAGCTTCACTTCCCTCCACCTGTTCAAACACTCTCTGATCTGGCCACATCAGCCAGATTACCTAATCTGTGCTCCTCCCCACCTCTGGGTCTTTGTTTATGTTGTTATCTCTTTCTAGAATTCCCTCCCTCTCCTTTTCTGCCCGGAGAAAATCCATTCTGTCAAAGCCCAACCCAAAAGGCACCTCCTCCAGGCAGCTTCTCCGAAAGGCATCTCCCCCTCCACACACAGACTGTTTAAAGTTGGCAGGTACATGGGTATTTATTCTATAAACACCTCTTCATGGGGAAGATGATGGGGCCCTGGCGAGGACCAGCCCCAGGCCTAGCCTGGGAGGTTCCCAAGGTGGGTGGGACAGAGCTGAGGACACACCACAGGCCCACCTAATCAGTGCCAGGAAAACGGAGTGCCCAGGGCCTAAAGGACCCAGAGGACGAACAGGAGCTCTGCCTGGTGAGTTCAGAGAAGGCTTCCTGGAAGAAGGGACTTTTACCCATCAGTTTTTAGATCCCTCAGCCAGGCACACTCCACAGGGGAGGGTAAATACAGATTTGTGGATTGCCTGAGAAGCCACAAAACCACACACACACACACCTCTTAGTGTGTGTAATCTACCAGGAAGGAGGAGATGATTTGCTCTGAGCAGCAGCAACCCGTTTGGGGAGCAGCTTTGAGAATTTGGGGAGGCTCAGCAGTCTGTGAGATGGGGATGAAACAGGAGGGGAGGGGGCAAGGCACAACCTTGAATGACATAGCCTGAGGACATGACATAAACTGATTACAACCAAATGGGTCCAAGATGGCAGATAAGTCGGACAAGTCAACTTCCAGTAGACCCTAAGCCTCAGTGTATGCTCACTGTAACACATCAACAAGCTGAATGACACACCCACAGGCGCCATGACAATTCCAAGACCAACCATAAGGATCAAAAAGTGGGCAGTGGCCCAATTCCTGGAAATCCCCACCCCTTCACGAAATAGCTGGAATACTCCTCCCCCTCATTAGCCTATGAAATTACCCACTCCTATAAAAACTGACAACCCCATAGCCTGGTGCACGTCTCACCTTCTGAGATGGCCCACACTCTGTGGAGTGTGTTTCTCTCTAAATAAATCCACTTCTTACCTATCACTTGTCTCTCACTGAATTCTTTCTGCGTTGAGACATCAAGAACCTGAGCTTCGGGGCTTCCCTGGTTGCACAGTGGTTAGGAATCTGCCTGCCAGTGCAGGGGACACGGGTTCGAGCCCTGGTCCGGGAAGATCCCACATGCCGGGAGCAACTAAGCCCGTGCGCCACAGCTACTGAGCCTGCACTCTAGAGCCCGCGAGCTGCAACTACTGAGACCGTGAGCCACAGCTACTGAAGCCCGCGTGCCTAGAGCCCGTGTTCCACAACCAGAGAAGCCACTGCAGTGAGAAGCCCGCACACCACAATGAAGAGTAGCCCCCTCTCGCTGCAACTGGAGAAAGCCCGCGGGCAGCAACGAAGACCCAATGCAGCCAAAAATAATAAACAAATAAAATAAATAAATAAATAAAATAAAAATAAAACTTAAAAAAAAAAAGAACCTGAGCTTCATTAAGTCCTGAAACCAGGTGTGTGATCTCAGTTGGAAGAGTGTGGGTTTTGGCCGGGTTTGAGTCCCAGCCACGTGGGTTCAAGTCCCAAT